GACTCACCAATTCTTGACCGCCACCTATTACAATAGTAAACAAAAGTGGGCTTCTAGAATTACACTTCAAAAATTGTGGGCATCTAGATAGTTACAAATTATATTTTTAACGGTATCATCTATGGGGGCCGACTCTCAGACTTAAGCCATACTGGAAACAGTTCAAGAGGGAGAAGGAAATGATATAGGATGGGATAAAAGAATATTAAGGGACATCTACTAAGATTTAATTACAATTGGATGATGGAAGACACCCGTGCTCAATTGGGTGCCAGTTAAAGAAAGGAAACCGGCTGTATGAGTACAAAATTCTCTCTGAAGCATGTTAATAGTTTCTATATCAATCCCATGAAGGTTGAAATAGTGGATGAGGTGATATTTGAATTTTTCCACGGTGTTCTATAGATAATAAGTATGCAACATTGAGGTGAAGTTTGAATCCTGATTCACTGCAGGTCCAATGCCCAGGGGATAAACTCTAGAAGGCCATGGAATCTTGCGGATGAGATTGATTTGAAAAGTTTGAATTGTTGTAGTATGGAAATTCCATGTCTCTCTTTCAACCACCATGGTTTTAGGATAGATACAGAATATTTAGTGGTTATCAGCAATCGATGATCTTCTAATGGGTGTCATATGAAGAGAAAGCAGATAAACATTGAATTGAAATCGAAATATGGAGAAGGATCTAGCCAGGGACGGACTGGATGGCTCTCGGTTCTTGCTGGAGCAAACTCGTTGGGCAGGAGGGCGCTATTCGATGAAGAAAACACACTTTAGGAAAGTGGTTCAGGTAGCTCAGCTGGTTAGATCAAAGGACTGAAAATCCTTGTGTCAATGGTTCGAATCCACTCCTAAGCGTAAGCGGTAGAAGGTAGCAAGACAGACAACAAGGTTGCAGTGACAATTCATGGGAAGAAATGTCAGCCCACAATGGTTCAAAACAATTTCATGTTTGATAAAAACTGATCATCTTGATGTGATCTTTCATCCTACAAAAGGATGCGGATGAGATAAACAACCATTTGAAAGCCATTCAAGCATAATGCTTTGGATCAAACAACAACGGAACTGCAAGAATAATTCAAATTCGAATTTAGGTAAGTCTGATTTGAATTGGATGAGCTTTAAAACACCAAAATATCAACTGATGCAATGGAAACCGTTGGGTCTGGAGATGAACAGCCTAAGATCAACTAATGGTTAATGGATGTTTATTAACATCAAGCAATTTCTCAAGGGAGCTATAAAAGCACTCTGCTGCACTCAGTAGAGGACCTTTTGGCAATATTTAGAGTGACCTTCTGAGAGATAACTTGTGAGAGCAGCACGAAGCTTCTTTCACATAAAATCAAGCAAACAGCATCAAGCACCGACTTCAAGAACACTGTGGTGAAAAATATACATTCTATACCTTCTAGGCAAGATTCAGTCCATGTCATATTCTTAGTTCTTTCGAGTCTTTCTTATAACCGAACAAAGGTTTTTCATACTTGTAACAAATGGTTTGGATGTAAATGAAACAAGTTGCTCATGGGCGCTTGGAACTCCTCACCAAAACCATATTTTAATAAAAAGTTTCTGACCTAAATGCGATCAAGAGTGAGCTTGATTCCTTTTGAGTGTATTCTCTGGTTTTGAAAACTTGAAGAGTCCACATCATAGTTACCCGAAGTGATTCGGAAACTGAATTGGTTTAGGAATAAAAAACGCGGAATTGCCACTGGCTGTAAGATTCCTATTTTTGGAATCGATGTCCATACAAGAGGGAATCATGGGGACGAGATTCTTATTTTTCGGAATTGAAATTCAACCAAAATAGAATCGAGATCCCAACATAGATGGAATCGAGATTCCTAGCTCATTGGAAGCGAGTTTCCGAACTAGTTGGAATCGACCAATATGGACCTTCATTTATGGAATCTTTGGAATTAAGAGGGTAGTGAGAGGGAAACAATACATGACTCAATGCTATTCATTGACCAACATGCACATGTACAGTATTTGTAGTACATTATTTATAACATCTTGGAGTTGCAATCTCTCCATTGAATCAATACAATGCAATTGAAATAATTAAATAGAGAACAACATGCACATGTACAGTATTTGTATTACATTATTTATAACATCTTGGAGTTGCAATCTCTCCATTGAATCAATACAATGCAAATGAAATAATTAAATAGAGAACATGGACCGAAAATTATACAAACCCAAAAAAAATAGAGAACGTGAACCACCACTTTGGTTTCTATTGGTCATTTCATTTAGAAAACGATGACAATACCTTGTAGCATGAGATTGGGTGTCCAGTTTGAGTACTTTGATGATGTCTTGAAAACTCCTAAATATCACTTCTAAGAAAAGCAAAAAACAAAAAGAACAAACAGGAAGAGGGGGAGGGGGGGGGGGGGAAGAGTTCCAATAACTGTGACGTTTGTATAAGGTGTCAACCTTATACTATTGCAGTGCGGTGCACCTCAAAACTATGCTGAAAATACAGTATTGGTGCCTCAAAGCCTTGCAATGATATGAAAATCTATTGTTTCTCCCAATTATGAAATTTAAAGTTCCAAAAACAGTGACGATTAAGCAAATCTATAAACATTAGAAAATCTTGAAAATGGATGGTCTAGATAATGTGTTAGAAAATGAGCTATTTTTAGGACCAGAAATCCTTTTTTTTTTCATGTCTATGAATCTTGAGGTTGATATTACTGATTTGAGGGTTTTCCCGCACAGGACTACCTTCTCTTGTGGATTTCTTAAGTGCACCCTACTTGTACAGTATAAGGTTGACGCCTTCTATAAACTTTTTCCTTCCAATAAATCTAGAAACTAGTTTCCACAAGTGTGGAATCGAGATTCGCCAATTGTAGAATCGAGAATCAATAATTATTTGAGACGAGATTCTTTAAGTGTTGGAATTGAGATTCCTAAATTAAGAAATCAAGATTCCAGACTTCATGGGAACGGATTCCGTGAAGATTCCTAATCAGAATCGGCAAATTGGGATTCCGAACCGGAATCGTGACCTTCAGTGAGATATTCGGGTAACTATGGTCCATATTTCTCTTTTCCACTTCGTCAAAGCACACTTGAGGGCAAATCACATGGACATTGTGTCAGCCCACTTTTCATCAATGATCTTCCCCACTTTGCTGTGGAATCCCCAGATGACGTGCTCTGCATGGTCTAGTGCCACATCGGAATGCATGTCAGGCTTCATAACTGAATCAACCTACCCAACCTACCTCAGGTCTAACATAAATGGGGCGGTGGCAGCAAGAATCTTGCACACTTATACTAAAATATGTGCCTATTAATGAGTTATTTGTCTTCTCTTGCAGTTTGACTCCTTGAGATAGCTGCAGCAACCTATTCCACACTGTAGTGTCAAGTATGTGGTTACAAATCTAGTGATAGGTGGCATTATGAGCCCGACTATAGACCGCTTCATACGAGGCTTTCTAAATCTGATTTCTCTCTCAGTACTTCAAGAAGAACCCACTTCAATCTCCAAAATTCATCGTCTTTGTTATCTCCCAGCCGCTTTCTTTCTTTTTTCCAGCATCCAAATTTTCAAGCGTCTCTTTCCTAATTTCCTAGATATGCTGTCACATGCTAATATCTGATTGTGACAAACTTGTTGATTTCTTCTTGCTAGTGGAAACAAGGTTAACAACAATCCTGACATCTCTTTGAAACCCTCACTGTTGCATTTTTGTGTTTTGCCAAATGTGTCAGTCAATTCAAACTAACTTCTCACTAAAACTCTTCTTTCGAGTGTGCTCCCCCAAATATTCACAGCATATGTAGTAATTTACTTGCACTGATTAGCAACTCCTTGAGTCATTCCACATTAGAGCTGTTTTAAGTATTGCAAACCGTCCTCGCAACTGCTTTGTCCTCCATTCTGTACTCCTTCCAGTTGTGCTAGCAAAGCCTCACCACCATTTGAATTATTACAATTTTTTTTCATGTCAGTACCATATGCCTTTTTGCATTTATTTGAGATGTACAAGTTCTCAAGTTATCATTGGATAAATGGGGGCTTCTCTGTCATATCGGTGAACATAGATGGCGTCATTTGGTGTCACTGGAAGGGGTTGTCAAGTTTGATGAGCATCGATAAAATTAAAAGGAAATGGAATCTCCATTTATATGAAAGCCCAATTGCTGCAAATAGATATTTATATAAAAAATAAAGAAGCAAGAATTATCAAATTGACTGGCGTAGGGCTAAGATACGTAGCCACAGCAATTCTCCCTTGTGTTTCTCAGGGTGAAGCTTCCATGGACCAGTCGTTCAGGTGGAAGCAAGAACCAAACCTTGATCAGATTATTGACAAAGTGGTTTCTACCATATTTGGAGCTTTCTTATTCTTTATGATTATGATAGTATAGTTGTAGCAATTGAGTTCTGATGCTAGTTCTTTACTGATAAACCTTTTAAGAAATTCATACTGTTGTAAAACTCTCTGCAGTTTGTGCTGTTTTCTTTTGGCCTTTGTTTTGTGAAATGTACCTATAAAATAAGGGTGTGGTTTCTATAAGGTTGCAACCTTAAACAATCCAATTGAGGCGCACCTCCAAATTTTATCATAACATGTAATTTTGGTTTAAAAAATTCCTAGGATTATCATAAAATCTATTTTCATATCTAATTATAAAATTTTAAACTCCAAAAATGGTTAAATTCAAGTAGATCTATAAACATATGAGAATTTTGAAAATGGACGGTCTAGATAATGTGTTGCGGGATGCACTATTTCTGGGACTCAAAATCTTTTTTTCCTCATATTCCTACATCTCGATGATCAATTAGAGGGCTTTTCAACGTTAAAACAACCGTTTTAGATGGCTTTTTGAGATGCACCTGTAATTCTATATTTTAAGGTTGCAACCTTATATAAACTTTTTACATAAAATAATAGACGGCAATGATGACATTTTTCCCAGTTCATTTTGATTATTTTAATGAATTTGCTATGCAGGGTCTCATGGAATATCACAAGGAAATTGTTGAATACTTCAACCGGAGGGGTGTTTCTGCAATATTTCTTTTTCGGAGGAATCTCCTCCGTCGGTTGGTTTCTGTACTTGCAAATGCTTATGATCGTGATGCAAAGCAGCTGAATGGCACACATAAGTCCCATGTGCACTCGAAACAAGAGGTCTCTCTCTCTCTCTCTCTCTCTCTCTCTCTCTCTCTCTCTCTCTCTCTCTCTCTCTTCTTACTTACTTATTACTTATTACGTTAGTTTACGTTAGTTACGTTACGTTACGTTACGTTACGTACGTACGTAGTACGTAACGTACGTACGTAACGTA